GTGGAAAGAATACATAAATATCTTCTATGTGATCAATACAAAAAAAGAGAGAGAGCCTAAAAGAAAAATTGCCAAACAATAGAAACAAGAATAAATATTACCAATAAATATAAAAAATATTTTCGGCCTCAATAGTAATCAGTGCATTCTACCATACAATGAAATATTTCATTCAGCTGCATGCAAATATCTTTATAGTTGATGGTACCCAGTGTCAGCAAGAGTAGGGAGAAATGATACTCTCCAACACCACTGATGAAAATGTAAATTGGCAGACCAATTGAGAGGGCAATCTGGAAATAAATTTTTAAACTTAGACTGGTCATATTCATTCATACAGCAATTCTGCTTCTCAGTGTCCAGAAAAATATTTCCAAACAGAGCACTGTTGGTAATAGAAAAGTACTGGAAATAAGCATATATGTCCTCAATAGGGAAATGATTGCATGAATTATGGTGCAACCACATTATGAAATACTGCATAAAAAGAGTAAAGTAGCTGTATATCAACATTAATAGAAATTCCTGCAATGGTAAAAATGTTCTTTATCTATGCTATCCAATATGGCAACAATCAGTCACATGTGGCTATTGTGTACTTGATTAACTGAGGGACTAAATTTTAAATTTTATTTAATCTAAATATAAATTTATAAATTTAAATAACCACATATATGCACTAAAGTTGAACAATCTCTAAGACTTTTTTTTTAAAGAAGTAGGGCAATGCACACAATAAGAATTTATTTAAACAACAGGAAACAGTAACAAAATACAGTTGCCTCTTCAGTATAGGTATATTCCAAAGTATGTAATTCTTTTTCTTTCTTTTTTTCCCCCTCTTTCTTTGCTAGGACCCTTACATGTTTAAGACAAATCCTATGTACGTAATTCAACAGAGAAGCACCTGGAAGGACAAATACCAGGCTGACCAAAATAGTGAGATGGCAGGGGTAAGAGAGAATGGGATTTTTGCTTTATCTGAAAATCTATCTGTGTATGTCTTATGTAATTAAAAATTATTTTCTTAAGAGACGGGGCCTCACTATGTTACTCAGGCCAGTCTCAAGCTCCTGAGCTCAAGCAATCCTTCTGCCTCAGCCTCCCAAGTAGCTGGGACTACAGGCATCTTTGTTTTTAAAGAAAACTTTTTAAAAGCTGGAGGAAAGGGAAGGGTTGGGTAGTTGGAAAGAACTGCATGTGCATAAGAAAAATATGTCTAGATTAGAAATTACTAAGAAATGTGTCTTTTGAGGAAATTCACTTTAACACAGGATGCAAGAGACCTAGGATTTTGTTGTCTGCACCATCGTTGTAAGGAATTAACAGAACTATAAATTTTCTCCCCTTCACCCACAATCCAATTCATTTTACTCAAGAAGAAAAATGATGGTTCTTCAGTAAATAGCTTTTCCAAACCTGCATAAGATCTTTTTCATCAGTGGTCATTAATTTGCCATCTCTCCAAAGAAATTTTCCAGATTCCAAGTTGTGTGTGGAGTAGGTGCTGTGTCTTTTAACTTGACCCTCCTTTGTATCTAGTATTGTGACCAGCAGTAATGGTAGCTTAAGTACTTCCTTGGTTAGAGAGGCATTAATAACATAACTCTATTATTAATATAAGCAAATGTTTAGATTTTAACCCTAGAATTATTTCCCTTGTTTACATGCCTTTATTTTTAACTGCCACTAAAAGTATTCTTTTCCAAATCTATCTCGTAACCAGTATTTTTTAAAATACTTGTTATGGCAAACAAATATTAGCTATATAATTTTAAAGTTGTATATAATATTAAACCTACATAGTTTTTAGATGACAATATATTTTAAAATCAGGGGAAGACCTTCAAGTAAAGTCTCAAATGCTGTCTGATACATG